TTGTATGTGACCGTTTGTTTTCCTGAATAAAATAAAATAAATAAAAATAAAAAAAACAAACCATGTGGGGTGCCAGCGGGACACCTTCAAACTTTACGAGCGAACCGCTCGTTACGCCGTGATTCCACCAAAAACAGACGAATATCAGCACTAGGTACGAGATTGATACTTGATTACGATCTAGATCAGTTATTAGCAATAGAGTCAAACAATTGGCAATTCGCCGAATGCACAATTTATATTGTTGAACTACCGATACACCCTTTGATTGGTCAAGGGCCTTACCATGACCTCTTATTGCGATTCAACTTTGAACCTAAACAAGTCCGTTTCGCTTATTCGTACCTTGACGTCCTAAAAACGATCATGTCAAAAGCATTTACGCCAAGGCCAAACCAAATCCTAAATTGATCCGCAACTCCTTTGAAATCTTTAACATTCATTCATTTTTCGTACCATCACGTGCTACATTACATTAGTTTATACGATGTTGGTTCGCTGTAATGTCATAAAATTCGGTTCAAAAAAAGTTACTCATTGCTAGCATAAATTGAGACGTTTGCCATTCTACCAAATAATTTTTCATTTATTTTGAGGATTTGGCTAGAAAAATAGATTTTTTTTAAAATTCCTAATTGTGGTACGCCAGTGGTCCACATGGCCCGCTAGATAAAATTCGAAAATATATAGTGCCCTGCTTCTCTTGGATTTATGTTGGCGGCCGGCAGCCCATATGGCCTGCTAGATAAAATTCGAAAATACATGGTGGCCTGATGCAGTTGGGGTTTTGTGGGTGGCCAGCGGCTCACATGGCTTGCTGATTAACATCCAAAGATACATAGTGACCTGCTGCAGTCGAATTTTTGTGGGCGGCCGGCGGGCCACATGGCGCTGAGAGTGTTAAATTACAACAACAAAAAGGAAACCGCTTTAAATTTAAACTTTAATTGAGTATAATCAATAAAATCAAACATAACAAAACATATTTCACATCGCAATTAAATAATCCTGAAATAATCTTCTCGGCGCACCTTAATTAATTAAAAATACTCAGAAGTAGGGCGAGGCGTTACTACCTCCTTAGTGAATTGCGTTCGGACAAATCGTCCGCCGAAAACAATCAATTATATTTATGAAAACTACCTAAATGAGAGACAAGATACCGTTGAACGAAACAACATTTATTTAGAAAGATATAGGTACAGTGCATTTGTGATAAAATCTTTGCAAGAAAATATCTCAGGCCGACGTTATTTTATTAGATGAAAGTGAAAAATGGCAGAAATCGTTTAAATGTTATTCGGTTTAATTTTGAAAGTAAGAATCTGAAGTGATGTACGTACCGTGTATACGAAGTTGCCGAGAACGAGGAAACCGCCGTCCTTGCCTTGGGGCCACAGAATGTGGTGCGAGACCATCGCCACGGGTAGCCAGAATAGCAGCACCGAGTGCAGCAGCGAGTTCACCACCCACACCCAGAACACGCGCACGTTGAACAGCAGCCCCTGCTGCGACGGCAGGTACAGCACCGGGTGCTGCACACAGGACGTCGTTAGATTTTCATATTGGACAAGTGCAAATTCGTCAACTAATTCAAGAAGCCTCCTCCATCATTCGCAAGGTCTCCTTCGAGAGACGTGTTTCTTCCCGCACAACATAGAAATTGGTGATTATTAACATCATCGTCAACCGTCATAATTGCACGTCCCACTGTCAGGTACGGATTTCCATTTAGAGGGACTTTTTTTACTCTAGTCCAACAAGGGGATGTTTACATTTTCCAATGACTGAGAACCGTCTTCGACATGCAGGTTTCTGCACGATGATTTCTTTTACCATTAGCGAGAGTGCTAAATGGAATTACAATGTAATAAAGAACGTTAGACAATCCGGTACTATCAATACCAGAATAAGGATAACTCAATACCCAGCAATACCCAGGACACCCAGACGAGAACAAATTTAGCAGTGGTTTCAAGATAATTTTAAATCCTCAGAGTAGATTTGGGGTCCAGGTAACTGGTATGGTTGTACGGCACTTTATTAACACGCAGTTAAGTTATTTTTGGTACTATGTTTGGAGATGAGTGGTGATGGCGACTCACCCTAATCATTATTTCTGATGAGCAGAGCTTGTCGAAGAGGCCGATGGCGAAGGGTGGTAACGCCGTAAAGATCACGTTGTAGAAGCCTATCGTCCACCGTTCGAATAGGATCTGACCCGACCTGAGGATCAATTTGGATTTTCATTATTTTATTTTCTAGACATGTAATTATCAGTATGTTCATAGCTTAATGTAAAATAATGCTCTCTCTTTGAAATTTTATAAAAGTTTTTAAAAAAATGACTAACTTTTAGCCATAACACGGATCCGTTTACAGTTCAAGGGAGAGGTGTGCAGCCGGTGGGATGAGCAGCGCCGTATCCTGACGGGGACAATAGGGCAGGACCTCTCGCTGCCGAGCGTGGTTGCCGCCATGCTCGATAGCGAGGAGTCCTGGGAGGCGGTGGCCTCCTTTTGCGCAGAGGTTATGTCGCAAAAGGAGGCCGCGGAGCGGGTGCGCAAGGACGCGGCAGACGCGCACCCGCTCCGGCGCAGACGTACGGGGAGAAGGCGAAGGCAGTTCGCTGCTCGCCTGAACCCTAGTGAGACCAGCGGGCTCTGGACAGGGACTCCGGAGCCTGCATTACACGGCCTCACTCGTCTGGGTGCGGGTCGGAGGACAACCGACTCTCCCCTCCGTTGGCGCGGGGAGCCCTGGCGCAAGCTAGGGCGGCCGGGCGGCGTCGTGGTGAATGTTCACCGATCCCACGGCGCCGACTCAACCGGCGAGAGGGAAACCCGGGGGGGTTTTAGTGGGGTAGGCCCTCCAGTCTGGAGGGAGAGGAGAGTCCCCACATAACCCCTGAGTCTCCCTGGGCTCAGGGGTATCCATAAAGATTTCCCCCCGTAAAAAAAAGGGGTTTCAATGGCGGCACCATTACATGTGGGTTTATGGCTTCATTTTTGGTCTAAAAACTATTGCAGCAAATGTTTGACAATTCTATTGCTCTGACTGTGTTGTATTATATGTTTTGTATTATAACTTGGTAAAGAATCAAAAATAAGATTTTAGTAAATGGTATTTGAAACAGCTCCGACTGTTGTGGCGGTCGAGCTGGGAGTGACCGTGGTACGAGAAAAAATGAGAAAGTGAAGGAAGATGGAACAATTCAAATGTAAAATTTAAATACATGTAAAATAAAAAAATGATAGAATACAAGCGGAGAAAGGCGATACAAAAAGGTGAGATGACGGTCAAGGAGGTCACACCGGCACAATATACAATTATGAAACCAGGTTGAAATAAACGTGTAAAACGAATTATTTAAGAATAAAATATATTATTTTGTACTTAATTTTTATATGGAGATATTTTCATTAAAGACTACAGAGAATTTGCTAAATTTTGATTTTTAAGTAAAGCCTATAGTTATTAAATTCACATTTATTCCAAAATTTGAAAATTGTCCAGCGGTTTAACGACGCGCCGCGCGGTCGCCCGCCGCCCCGCCGTTAGTCGGGGACATCGGGCGCTCGTCGACTTCGAGTCTGTGTTAAATTTTCTCCGCCTGTTCTTATTTCATTCACATTAATTCTCAGCGCGCGAGTCCTCCCTCCTCAACACCTCGGCTTAAGATAAAAGGTAGCGGACTCACCAGGCCGAGTAGATGGCGAACCAGAGCTCGATGACGTACAGGCAGATGTTCTTGTAGAAGGAGTACAGGATGAGCTTGCTGATGCGCGAGTAGTTCCACGCGCCGTGCACCAGCAGCAGCCGCAGCAGGAACCGGAACTGCAACGGGAGGCGGGAGGCGGGTGAGGCGGGCGAGGGGGCGAGGGGCGAGGGGCGAGGGGGCGACGACGGGCTCACCTGCGCCACGGAGTAGTCGGAGGCGCACACGGCCTGCAGCCCCTCCACGCCCGAGATGCCCACGCCCACCGAGGCGCGCTGGATCATGGCCACGTCGTTGGCGCCGTCGCCGATGGCCAGCGTCACGGCGCCCGTGCCCGCCGACACCATCTCCACCATCTGCGAGCGGCACCGGGTCGATGTTACTCTCGGCCCGGGAGAGGCCGCGACGAGGGCGAACGGAAAGGGAGCACCTCGGCTTTCTGGATGGGCGAGACGCGGCAGCAGACGACGACCTTGCAGGACAGGCAGAGGTCGAGGAAGTCCTTCTTGAGATCGCTGCCGGCGGCGTAGGTGAGCGTCTTGCCGTCCACGATGAGCGCCACGTCGTTCTGCTTGCGCAGCCCGTCGCCGAACTCGCACGTGTGGCGCACGATCAGCTCGCGGGTGCCCTGCGCGAGGCGGACGTCAGCGGGCGGGGGCGGGCCGCGGGGGGCCCCGCCCGACACTCACGTCCAGGCTGTTCTCGTTGAGGATCAGCAGCGGCATGCCGCCGTGGATGAGCCTGGCCGAGTGCGCGATGTTGATGGCCGTCTCCTGCTTGTCGCCCGTCAGCACCCAGATTTGGATGTTGGCCTTCAGCAGCGACGCGATCGTCTCGGGCACGCCGTCCTGCCGACGTGACCACGCGGAATTGTTCAAAACTGGAGCGCTGCGGGCCGGGCCCGAACGGTTTCGTTTTTGTTGTAACGTAAATCGTTCCGTGGCGGTTACGAATAAGGTAAGGTGCTGGTGAAATTACGGGCACACGGGACTTGTCAATTTACGTTCCAGGGCGTCAGTCGCGGTGGCGGAACCCAAACCTCCAAAACCCAAACTCAGGTCTTTCCGATTTAAAGCTAGGAGTCGCATTGCTACTGTTACGGACGGGCGTGTTGCTCACCATCGGGCGCACGACTTGCTCGTTCAGTCATTTAGTTATATTATAGAAAAGAAGAAAAGAAAGTAAGTGCAAAAAATGCGTAAATTAGGGTTTACAAATACAGGTAGTATCGGTAGACGTCGGCGACAGAAAGCGAGCACAGACCTGCAGCCGGTCCTCGATGGCGGTGGCGCCGAGCAGCCGCAGGTTGTCCTCGATGAGCTCGGCGGCCTCGTCCACCTTTCGCTCGCGGTCCTGGATGGCGATGGTCGCTTCGTGGAACGTGTTCGCCCACTCCTGGGGAGGTCGACACGCGTAAGTCGGCGGTCGGCTCGCGGCGGGCGGCGGGCGGCGGGGGCGGGCCGCACCTCGTAGGCGGCCTCGGAGATGTCGGCCACGGCGAAGACGAGCGTGCGCAGCCCCTCGGTGGCGAACAGCTCCAGGTGCGCCAGCGTCGTCTCGGCGTGCTGCGCGCCGGCGCCGCCCGCCAGGCGCGGCCACAGCACGGTGTCGGCGCCCTTGCAGAACACCTTGATGGCGCCTGCAAGATGCGGGCGGGTGAGGGCCGCCGCCGGCGGGGCGGGCGGGGCGGCGGGGGCGGCGCCTACCTTCGGGCGTGCGCACCACCACGGACATGCGCTTGCGGCTGGACGTGAAGTCGATGACGTGCAGCACCTGGTACTCGCGCGCGCCGGCGCCGCGCACGCGCACGCGCACGGCGGCCGGCGTGCGCGTGTCGAACACGTAGCCGAACTGCGCCGCGCCCAGCACCAGCGCGCGCTCGTCTGCGGACAGCCACAGCTGCAGGCGCCGGCAGGCCCCGCGGCCCCGCGGCCCCGCGGCCCGCCGGCCGACCCGACGCCCTACCTGGCGACGCCGCCTGGTAGCGCAGCTCGCCGTCCACCGTCTCGGGGATCACGGTGTGGCACACGGCCAGCATCTCCAGGAACTCGCGGATGGTGGCCACGTTGGGGTGCTCCCGCGTCAGGTGCTCGTGCAGCAGCGTGTTCTCCAGGGTTTCGCCATTCGCCGGCGCCGAGTATATCACCTGCGCGACGGACATCCCCTCGCATCATTTGCTCGTGCGTGCGAGTCCTTCCGTCGGCGACAGCCGAGAAACGGGGAACGTACCTCGGCGATAGAACACTTCTTGAACTCCATGATGTTGCACGTGAGCGTGCCCGTCTTGTCGCTGAAGATGTACTTGACCATGCCCAACTCTTCGTTGAGGTTGGACGTTCGCGCCATCGCCGGCGTGTCTGTCGGCTCGTAGTACATTTCTACGTCCAGCGAGATGAACCGCGCCTGCGCGTTTATAGTATGTCTTTGAGAAGTTCCTAAAACTAAATTTTCGTACGCTCGCCGATCCGTCTACCGGAAAGTGCAAGTTTACAGTGCATGTATATTGATGTCGTACGTTCCCTTGAACTAAAATTGCATACTTACTTGAAAATACCTAACTATTTCAGCAGTAACTTGTAACGATATGGGTATAAGATTGTTGTATAATATTAAAAACGTCAAAAAGTTGTATACGATATTTGTGTTTTTCGAATCTGAAACAAAATATTATTCGTTACTTTAATACGAAAGACGACAAGTTTAAAGTGACTATTGCAATCAATCAACCGTGAATTTGTTGTTGACCAAAATTAAAGCATAAAATAATTTGAAACTCACTGGTACATAAGTATACTCTTATTTATATATATTATTACCACACATAATATAACACCGTACTAGTACAGATACCTAACGCCATACAAAAAGAAAAGTCGCAAAACTCTTTAACGCGTCAGCGTGATCAATAGATGGTAAGTAAACCCGCGATGCGATTGTAATAAAGTTTAAAATGGCCAACAGATGGCAGTTATTACATTTTTGTCAAGGTTAATTGCAGTTGCTCAGGCGTTGATTATACAGGCTGTATATTTGAAAGTGAGACTTATTCATACATGTCATAGTAATGACATGTCATAATAATCATGTTACAACTTAACATAGACTAAAATAAAATTAGAATATGGGATAGAATAAAAAATAAATCAACAAATGTGTTTTGAAGTGTGCTGTGGGAATGCTACCATGCGAGCGCCGAGTGAGACAGCAACAATAACACTGATTTCACATTTACGTTTTAGCTAATGTTAATTATTTTTTACTATCATCGAAATGTTTTACGTACTAAAAACGTTAAGTTTATGATTTAGTACCTAGTTATCATTTATTAAGAATTGAGGTTTTTGGAGTAGTTAAAAATGTGAAATCAAATTATTTACAATGATTGATTTTTTAGTTATTTACAGTTTATTAACACTTACGTGGTAAGGAGCAAGTGTTCAAAATGTCCACCGTTTTCCACAATGCAATGTCTAGCACGGCATAATAAATTTTGTTTTAAATTATACAACACAAACACATTTTGTCTCACAGTATAAAATGCTCAGATAATTCTCTCACGCAACACTTCGACACTGTTCACCTCCTCCGCGTAAACTCCGATTTGGGAACATTTCAATAGCTTGCCTCACACTATCACCACTTATTGCGTAAAGTCGCACCATCTCAGTCAATTCGACGTTAGAATAAATATCCATTTTGCGGCGATCGGGCGAGCGGAAGTACAAATAATTTACGTGTCTTCGTTAGATCAAGGTCGCGCGTGGACTGAGCAATTTCGCGTATGCGCCCGCGTCCACACCCCCGACCTGTGCTTTGCTTTTCGCCGCTGTGTCGGAGCAATAATAGTGATGTGCATAGATTTCGATAACTAATGTTGTTCTCAAGTAGTAGTCGATAAAAAAATTCAAAGAATAATTTTTGTAAAGTTTAAGTTCATTAGTTTATTATTTCTTTGGGTTCAGAATCGGGAATATAACGCACTCTATAAGTATGTTCCACTTTCAAATATACAGCCTGGATATGTAATAAATAACATACAATAAAATCGCAAAGAAGCCGAGTACGCACTTTTAACGTTTTAAAGTAAAAGTCCATGCTAAAATTTTACTTAGTTTTAAGAATAAATTCAAAGAAATGCCATCTATACAATTCATTACAAAGTAACAAATCAAAAAGTATACTATTGAGAAATCTTCCATTTGTTATCATTTCTACGACAGTTTATTGTTTTACCAATTATCATTATTGCAAGTGAATTTTAATTAAACATTTCTAAAATTTTGTTTAAATAGTTTGCGGGTCCGTCTTATTTTCTGGCGAAACATATTTGTGCTTTACTATTTATTTTGACCACCATTTTTCTAGCAAATAAATGATTTGATCTATTGACAAAGGACTGATGACAAAATTTTAATTACTTTTGCAGTTGATTTTGGGCTTTCCCACAAACCGCAGCTTGCAGTGTAACAAACCTCTGTGGAACATGGACAGGCATTGATAAAAGCCTACTGAGTGCCAGATAGCTTTTATATAAATATAAACACTAAACTGGAATGCTTAAAATTGAAAAACAAGAACATAACATACCCGATTTTTAAGAGTTTGTCACTAACTCCTATGTCTGAATAAAAAGGTTGAATTAGTACGATTTAATTGTGGCAATACCAACCAGCGAGTCCAGTGTACCAGTCGGTTTTGTGGTTTCGGAGCCACAACTCGTTGAACACGGCGCTGATCAGTGACAAAAACAGCAGGATCAGGAACAGCATCAGGATGTGTGTGTTAGCCTGTCTGTCGATCGACGACCGCTTCAGAGGCGCTGCAATGCACATAGAGCGTGTTCTTAACACATGTATGTAGACCTTCTCTTGGTTTGCCCTAGCAACCACAGGTCAGCCTATAGCCCTCAAGTAGCCTTAAAAGAATTCGGTGAGACATAAGTATTTTTTAGTAATTGAGCTTGATATTATTCGAAGACTCAGTGCAGGCGTCATTAAAAAATCGCGTAAGGGAAATGTTCTTCAACTAGGCTATGAGCTTAACGAGTTACCTTTGGTGGAGTTCTTCATGAGCTTAGTTTCGTGGCCGGTGTAGACGATGACGCCGTATATCCATGCCGTATTGCGCAGCACGGCTCCTCGCAACAGCATCTGGTCCAGGCTCACCGGTATCGCTCTGTCATTAACATTACACCATTACAAAGTCAGCGGATACTGTGGATTACATACGAGTGAAAGCCAATTTCACCATGAAGGTCGAGCGATTGGGGTCCCGCAACAAAGTGAATTTTAATTCATTTGTGGTGAGAGCACCAACTGATCATCTGTCGACCTACATGAAGGAGTAGTTTTGGCCGAAGGGTGTCATGTGCCGACGTTTCCGCGGCCGGTTACAGGGCACGTCGCATGCCATACGTGTCAATAATTCGTGTCAACTTATATTATTATGTATGTTAGTCTGTAAGGTATGTAGGTATTTACAGGTCTATGTAACCTGACTATAAATAAACAAATTACAACTCGCTAGTTGGTCTACCCCGTGTTATGTTCGTGGTGTACCGCCTCGATAAAGCTATTATATCTACATTTAGCTGTCAAATTCGGGTGGTAAACGGCATTTTAAAATTTTATCACAATATCGAACATGGCGAGCACCGTGACTTCACATTTTTATGTCATCGCGAGCGCCGGCGACCAATGACTGCAAAAGATTAACACAGTGCCAAACATGGCTGCAAGGTCACAGGTGAGTTTAAAACATTTGCACCATTGACTTACAATTATATGGACGTCGGGTCCGCGCTAAAAAGTGTCCGCACTTGTAAGGCGCTAAAATCGTATACAGAGCGCCAAACTCCGCTTTAGTCTTCATTTGTTCGACTGACAGCGCGATACTGCGATGACATTACAATTTAAATTTCGAATAGGTTGACTTGGGACATTTTTTTCGTGGTTTTTGTATTAGACCCGTCGTCCATTTATTTGTAAGTCAATGATTTGCACAGTAATTTTATCAACGTAAAAATTGAGCGCGACAATCGAAATGAAAAGACATTTTTTGTTACATAGTTTTCGCGGCGATGATTAAACGACAAAGAAAACCATATACGCAATTTCATATCGTTGTCCTTGTTCTTCAAAATGTATAACAGTAATTCATTACCAAATAAGCAAACTTAGCTATATCAACGTGTTATCAACTGAATTAATTATTGTCACGAGGAGGTTTATCGCACATATTCTGCCATGCTATGGCCACTGATATCGTAAACGTAGGACAGATCCTAGCTTTCATAAATTAACTGATACGATAACCATTAGAAGTTCGTCCAGGGAAGCCAACTTAGCTATTTCTGCCGACAAGTAGTAATGTGAGTATTAAGGATGCTGGCGAAATTATAGGCTCACGGGACTTGTCAACAACAACAACTCAGATCGTTGCGATTTAAAGCTCTGAGTAGCACAGCAACCGCCAAGGAGAAGCGTGTCGCTTACCATCAGGCGCATGACTAGTTCGTTCCGTCACTTGATGTCATAAAAAAGCAAAGAGTGCCATGTATCGCAAACTCACTTAGAGTTGGCCTCCTTAAGCATGCCGTTGAACTCGTAGAGCTGCCGGTTGGGCGGCTCGCAGGTGAGAGTGGCGCGGTAGTTGATCAGCAGCGTCACGTCCTGGAGCCGCGCGGTCTCCGGATGCGCCATCCGGATCTTTAGGTTCGTCTCCCCGTCCAAGTTTGACGTCTCGATGAACGATATACCTTGCGGTTCACTGCAACACGCGATGCATCAACTTAGACCTTTATTTACGGCCAATCCGATTTTCAAGCGCGTTTGCGTGCAATATGTACCTGGACGCGAGCACGATGAGGTCTGCGGGGAAGAAATTGTTGTTGGTGATGCGACAAACGTCGCCCACCTTCAGCTTCTCCCAGCGAACGGCAGTCCACGACCCGTTGCTCAGTATGTCCACCTGGCGCTGGTTCATCTCGTCGTCCGCGCGGTGACGCTTCTGCAACAGAATCACATATACCGTTCACGGTTTCACCGCCAGAAGCATCATGCAATAAGTTGAGTTTCTCTTTAAAATAAAACAATTATTTTTTCTGTAAAATGGAAATCTTCAAGCGTTTAAAATTCCACAATATAAATAACTGAAGCAAACACATGACAGGGCGCGCGAACACGTACTACTCGTATTCATATAAATAGTCATATTCATATCATTTGTTGCGTTATATACTATAGAAAAAGGTTTTAAAGTTATTACACGATCCAACATAAACCCTGTAAAGAACAAATATATTTGATTATAGATTGACAGATTACCCAGTCCTCGACAACCTCCTTGAGGGCGCTGACAGAGAGGATGAGTATAAGCGGCGTGAGGGTGGTCCAGCGGCCGGTGGGGGACACATCGGGGATCTGCTGCAGCAGCGCGATGAGCAGGAAGAAACAATTAGAGTACCGCCGGAACTGCTCGAAAAGAAATAGCGGGACGAACGAGTAGACACTGCCGACAAAGACAAACATACACCATTACATAATCTTAACTTGTGATAGTATTATTAATGCAAAGATCGAACACAAAGAAAAATTCCTTTGATCTAATAATAATAATAATGATAACTATAACTGGCAAGCTCTTCCTTACGTAAACATGCCCATTAAAGCCAACATCATGAGTCAGGTTTTTATGCTCTCCGTGTGTATGAAAGTATTTTTTTAAATTTCAATATACTGGTATCGAAGAACGAGTCGTTATATAATAATAACGCACACGCTCAACATAGCCCCGCACTAGGGAAACCCTGTGTCGCGGGTGCCATGGACACACACACACACACACATAGACAACCACAAATTACACCCAAACTCACGAGAGAAATAAATGTAGGCCATACAAATATTTCTCCCGGCCCGGGAATCGAAACTGGGACCTCTGCGTGGCAGTCCGGCGTGGTAACCGTTCGGCCACGGAGGCAGTTAACTGCTAATGCATTCAATAGGTGCGTTGACGAAGGTATTTTTCCCCATTTGATGAAATACAGGAAAGTTATTCCTTTATTCAATAGCGGTAGGAAAGTTGAGCCTAGCAACTATAGGCCTATTTCAATTCTACCAACTTTAAGTAAAATATTCGAAAAGGTTATGTTGAGTCAATTACTGTCTGAATCACATTTTTCACAGTGAACAATATGGGTTTACTAGTGGTAGATCGACTAGCGATGCGGGGTAGCGCTACTAAAACATATATTTGATGCTTGGGAAAGGTTCCAGAACGCTACTGGGTGACCTCTCAAAAGCATTTGATTTTGTGGACCATATTACTCTTGTTGATTTTGACTTGACGTTAGACTTTGTTAATAAAGCTGTCTTTTTGGGAGTGACCTTAGATAGTAAAGTTCAATGGTTTCCACATATATCTTCCTTAGCCAGCAGATTAAGCTCTGCTGCATACGCAGTCGGTAGAATACGTGACCATACCGATGTTGCTTCTGCTAGACTAGTTTACTTTAGTTACTTTCATAGTATAATGTCCTACGGGATTCTCATGTGGGGTAAAGCGGCAGATATACAAACTATATTTGTGTTGCAAAAACGAGCGATTCGTTCTGTGTACCGTTTAGGTTCTCAGGTTTCTCTCAGAAAAAAGAATGACTGTGCCATAGTAGATTTACTCAAATATTTTGGTATGCCCGTAGAAATTAACTGCCTCCGTGGCCGAACGGTTACCATGCCGGACTGCCATGCAGAGGTCCTGGGTTCGATTCCCAGGCCGGGAGAAATATGTGTATGGCCTACATTTATTTCTCTCGTGAGTTTGGGTGTAATTTGTGGTTGTCTATGTGTGTGTCCATGGCATCCGCGACCCAGGGTTTCCCTAGTGCGGGGCTATGTTGAGTGTGTGCGTTATTATTATTATAAAAAAAAAAATACATAATTTCATTACGAAAGAAGATATTCTTTTACGACGACCGCTGAAGGGTGGGTCGTAGTACATATCTATTACCAGGTCTTACATATAATCCATGTAAGGACATATGTGAACAACCAAATATAGTTCGTTCAGTATCAACTGACGCGTTCCCAATTGAGACCATCATTAGCAACAACAATAGAAATCAGAAATATTTAAATAATATAGTAAATTCCATTACTATAATATATAATAAAATAAAGGCGTTACAAGCACTTTACACCAATAATTTGACAAATCTTACCCAATTCAGGCACAATGTCTTAATATTACAATTCAATTAAAATTTATTATAATTTAAAAGGCAACAAATTATAATTACAATACTTAAGATTGTGAAATTCTTTGTCAATTAACCATTTCTTTAAATAAGTTTTAAATTTATCACCATTTTTTATCACTGTTATAAATTCTGATTGCTATTACATAGGTGCTGTGGTCAAAGATCGTGCTTTTTATTCCAGAGAGGACAAAACGGTCCTTAAGGACAATTGCTTCTGACGTTAACGGAGTGTACATCGGATATTTTAAAACAAACAACAAACAAAATGATATAATATACAATTCCTGTTAAAGTCAGGGAGCCCCTTTTTTTGTACAAAGTTCTGTACAAAATAATTTAGAATTAAGTGTTATCGGGTATATTTTATTCGAACACTTGCAGTGGGTACTATTTTGGTGCAATCACAGGCACATGGGACTTTTCAACTAACTCTCAGGATGACAGGCGCAGTGCCCGTGCCCCTCAGATCATTACGCTGTGAGCGGCACTACAGCTGTTAAGCGTGAAATATACAGAGAGCGGGTGCGGGTCGGGCGCGTAACGGGGCGGGTCTAATTCCTTGTATTTATATGGACGACAACAAACTAAGCGCGGCTGCGTACGTCCGTCTCGCGCCCGTGCTTCCGACCCGACACGTACCCGACCTGCACCCGCTCTTTATGTTTCACGTTTTATCGATACGCGTGTCGCTTAATATATATATATATTCGGTCGCAACACTAGCTGACCATAGGTGAAGTTTCCCAAGCTTATGAGTGGATACTAATTCAACTCGAATAAAATTTTTTTATTGAATACAGCGGCTTTCTTGTAAAATTTCGAAGTAACTTTGTGTTTTTTTTCTATAGCGAAAATTTTTAGGAATCGTGTTTTCGCAACGTGCAGTGTATATTCTCAATTTTACTATATATTTTTGCCAAAGTGATTGATTCCACAGTTTCACTGTTATGCGAAATCAACCAAAGCCATTTGAGGTTGTATAAGACTCCTAAGAAGATTGTCAGTTCTTCAAAACATTGAACAAAACGTCGGATAAGATCGATCAGGGTCCAAATTCTATAAATTTTCTTACTTTCTTTCTGGTCATTGTAATTCCATTGGGACTCCACTGAGATTCTATTGCAATTATTATAATATTTGTACTTCTACTAAAGTGCTGTTGCAATGGCAGTTGAGTGTCTAACGATAGATGTAGCTTTACTAAAACTACCATGGAAATGTGTATATTTTAATATTTATCTAGTTTAAGCAGCAACGTAGTCTTCAAAATTAAATATATTTTCTTTATTTCAAATAATTAACAGACTACGCCATCGACGTACTGCTGATGCGTCATTGCCGAGCAGAATACTAAACAATTGCAAAGAATTCACAAAGTATCCTAAGTACCCCTGAGTACCTCCCTGTATGCATCTACACCTCGCTTGGTGTCACAGTGTAAAAACATTTAAGGTAACGGTACCAATGATCGACATTTAAAGGGAAATTTGAAAAACTGTGAGTTTGGATGTCATTTGTGGTTGTTTATGTGTGTGTCCATGGCACCCGCGACACAGGATTTCCCTAGTGCGGAATTAAAAAAAATATATCTAGTATCTCGATCGCTAGTCAAGCCACTACTCTTAACTTTTAGCAGAATACCTAAAAATCCTGCCATAGACGCTCGTGACACAACTGAGATGATAGCAGACTTGGAGCCCTGTTCCATTGTTTTCTGAGTAAATTCACAAAGATAACGATTTACATCTTGTGTTACAAGTTTAATTTTGCTGGTTCATAATTTTTTAATTGGTTGATAATCTGTAATAATAAAATAAATTTGAAAATGAATAGAAATAAAATAAGATGTAAAATATTTCCTTAACGGGACGAACAAGTCTTGCGCTTGCGCTGTCCATAACAGTTGCAGTGCCATTCAGTTTTTTAAATCGCAAAGATCTGAGGCGTACTGCCACTGCGCCCGTCACCCTGAGACACAAGTTGACAAGTCCCAAGTGCCTGTAATTTCACCAGCACCGTTGCCCTTCAAAACCGGAACGAAGTTATGCTGACATTACTACTTGGCGGCAGAAATAGATAAGGTGGCAGTACTTCCCTGGACGAACTCTTTTACAAGAAGCTCTAGTGCTACTAAAACACAAAAAAGACCCAGACTCAATATTTCCAAATCGATACTCATAAATAAACTTGTAACTTCGAAAAAATATTTTTCCATTTTGCCATAAAGCAAATAGAAAGAATGAATATTTTGTTATTACTCTAGATTCAAAAAAGGTTAAAAAGAACTCATGAATAATTGAACTTCAACTTGTTTGTAACTTTTGAACAATTCATAAAAAATATATACGTAAAATAAATGTAAGAACTTTAGCCTACAACAAAAATAAAGCTAAACTTTGTAAAATTTCCCCTCAAGATTGATTTGAAGGTTGGGACAAAAAAATTAAGGCTTCACTCTAATATTTTATATTCATTTGCGTCTACGATGCAAACTGCGAAATAGAGATGGGGTGGGAGTGAAAACGAGTCAAGTGCATGTCGGCTACAAGTACAAAGTTTTTTTTGGTCGTATGCGACGCCTGTCCATAACAGTTGCAGTGCCAATGAGTGCTTTAAATCGCAAAGATCTTAGGGGCACTGCCACTGCGCCCGTCACCCTGAGACATAAGTTGACAAGTCCCATGTACCTGTAATTTCACCAGCACCCTTGCTATGTGATGTGAATTACTGCTTGGCGGTAGAAATAGATAAGGAGGCTGTACTTCTGGACGAACCCTTTCACAAAAAGCTCTATTGCTGTTGCTTCAATCACGAATAGCGATGTTGCTCGATATGGCAAGTATGAAATGAAACTAGTTTTTCGTTTCTAAATCGCGTATATTCGTTTTTTTTTTCAAACAAAACAAAGTTTGAGGTTCTTTATAGATCCCATGACTAACTAAATGAAAGTTAATAACAATAATAATAAACTCATTTATTTGTCTTGTCAGTAATGCATTTTATAATAAAATCAGAGACAGTGTTCATAAGACAAAACGGTCTATGACTCAGCGGTCGCGGGGAACCACGACCTCTGTAATTTTGCCATAAGGTTGTAATTAAGTATTTATTATAAGACTTAAAGTAGGTATCGCTAATAATATATTTTTTATTATATCAAGTGATGGGACGATCAAGTCGTGGGCTTGGTGATAAGCGACACGCCTGTCCATAACAGGTGCAGTGCCACTCAGAGCTTTAAAATAGGGGA